ACTACTCTACAGTGTGAGTAAAAAAAAAGGTAACATCTAGAAAATTGCTAAATATTATAAAAATCATCTGTGAACAGTAAATTAGTATACATCTTATAAAAGAATGTTTTATCCCAAATCATTTGGTATCAGTTGTGTGTGGTATGTGTTCATGTTTGGATGAGCAGGAGACATTGTTTCAGAGAGTGCAACAATCCTCGGCCAAAGTATTGCAGATGAGCTGTTGGAATAAAACAATTGGGATTGTCCGGTCATTAATTCGGTCTTTGTAGATTCCATTAACATCCCTAAAAAATTAATCATGCCACACATATTAATATCAAATGGCAAGTATCAAAGAACATTTGTGTGCTTGTGTGTGTGTTTGTAGGTGTGTCTGACTTTGGTTCTGCAAAAAGCATATACAATGCATCTCATTTGACACATTCAATTCATTCCCTCACTTTAATACTTTTGTGCAAGACGAATGTGTGTAATACTACTCTAGAGCCGAAGGCTACAGACTTTCACGGAATACAGAACACTGTTTCATAAATCATTTTGTCAATAACAAATGCTAACTTCCTATGACAAATTTTGCTTTATGACAATCGAATGCCACGATTTCAGAAGCTTATAACAATTAATGTAACCTGTTATTGATAACAAGTTTCACGAAGCAGGGCCCTGGTAGGCTAAAAGTTGTTCACTTTTCATATATTATAGTCGGTCATGGACCCATAGGCATGATGATGCCAGACGTATCATGTAAAAGGTTCGCATGTAGAAATTCATCATATAATCTTTAACTTATCAACCTGGTTGACTGACGTAGTAACCTCTCCAAAAAAACAATCCATGACTTCATTACGTTAAGTTTTTACCTGTCAATAAAACAAACGCAACAACTGAACGTTTTAAAAAAAAAAGGCCACCAACTTTATTTCATCAATTCACGTAATCAAAGTTGAATGCTTTTCTTGAATATATTTGACAGAAAGAGTGAGTGATGACGCTGTGACATTTTCCAAGTATTCTTCCGATGTTTATTTCATATGTCAATTTGAAGTCTAATTTGATATCACTTTCGTAACTTTTAAAGATAAAGGTGGGTTCTGGTAAAAAAAAAAAAAAAATTCTCACAGAATCAAACGAAACTTTCACTGAATGTTCAAGATTACAAATATATGTCATTTTCCAAACAATTTTGGTAGAAAATGTATACTGGCTGAGTAATGAGCATAGACAGATTAGGAAATCAGGGTTAGTAACCCCAACACCATTTGTGTAGTCCCATATACATCTTTCTGTGTACAGTGCTAGTTACTTTACACAGACTGGGCCAAATTTATATTTTGATTTTGATGACCTTATAACTTTGCAGTACACACCAATACTTACATGCTACATGATCAATTTTATCTTTCACAATGCAATCGGATTACCAGACCCACCTTTATCTTTAACAACTGTAATTGTACTATCCTAAAGCTAGTCATGCGCATTATTTATTCTTCTAACGCACTGACCTGAGAGTGGCATTCTTAGTTTACCTTCTTCACACTTGTATATTACCTTCTTCACACTTGTATATAACCTTCTACACACTTGAATATTACCTTCTACAAACTTGTATATTACCTTCTTCACACTTGTATATTACCTTCTACACACTTGTATATTACCTTCTTCACACTTGTATATTACCTTCTACACACTTGTATATTACCTTCTTCACACTTGAATATTACCTTCTACACACTTGTATATTACCTTCTCCATACTTGTATATTACCTTCTTCACACTTGTATATTACCTTCTACACACTTGTATATTACCTTCTTCACACTTGTATATTACCTTCTACACACTTGTATATTACCTTCTTCACACTTGTATATTACCTTCTACACACTTCTAATTGTTAAAAAATGTTCTTATCTTTATCAAATATTCTATTAGCATTCATTCATTTATTCATTCATTCATATTCCACAAATTGTTCGAGTTTGTGATAGATACTTTCATTGATTACAGATTTGCTAAACAACTTACAGAGAATGGTGAACATATGACAGATTGAGAACTAGAACAACAAACTCATGGGGAAATGTGGAGGGGTCTACAGAGAACATTAGTGTAAGTTAAATATAGTCCCATGAATTAACAAAATTATTCGGCTATGTATATTAAACAAACACAACAATATATATGAACATTCTATACAACAATTAAATGTGAATATTGTTGAGTTAGAGCGGTGAAAAACAAACAAAGCAGAATCGTCAAACACGCAAGATTTACGCCAACGTACATTAAATTACCCTTATAACATGTAAGCATGAATATTAAAGCTTCGGTTGGCTACTATGTATGTGTAATTATTTGAACAAGATATATTTAGGTTCATTAAATGATTAATAAGTCATTATTGTTCGAGTTGACTGATTTGATAATCAGGAGGGTTATTCAACGTCCCCCCTTCAACTTTTTTTTTTTGGGGGGGGGGGGGGGGGATAGTCCCCCCCCCCCCGTAAGATTTGAAAAAAAAAACGGTAACAAAAAGTGCAACACACTTATAGGCTGTGGAGGGACCAAGTGTGCAACGTTTAGACTAATGAACATGCAAAAACCTTCTCGCTCGGTCGCTATACGCTTCCTCTCATAACATCCTTCAAATGTACAAGAAAATAATTTAAAAAAATCTGTATTCCGTTGGTATCACCGTGATACCAAGGAATACAGAGTTCCCTCGCATTTCGCCCCCCCCCCCAACCCGGTCATGAAAAGAAATCGCCGCCCCTGGCACTAAGGGTCAATAGCTATAGTAAAGGCCAATGGTTAGTTAGTCAGCGTAAGCTTTTGGCCGTAGAGTAATAGTTGATGTATTTGTTTCCAACAATTAAAGACGCTCTGATTGATTGTGGATTTAGCTGTCTCGGGTTCTGAATAGTTTGAGAAAATCTTCTCTTGTTTTCAGAACATTGCCGTCAGATTACAATACGGAACTTGGAGGGCGATGTTCCCAGACTTGCAACCCAAGGTATGGCATTCTGTTTGTCGCATGATATGTATAGTTCTGTCCCGAAGAGAGAAGGAGAGACGCAGAAAACATGTTAGAAAGAGGTATAGCGGGGAATGACAGTGAGAGGGGGGAGGGAGATACATTGAAGATAATAGAGAGAGAGAGAGAGAGAGAGAGGGGGGGGGGGAATAAAGAAATAAAGAGACAGAAAGTGGGTGCCGTCAGAAGGTTTGACAGGGTGTGTGTATGTGTGTGTTTGTGTGTGTGTGTGAGAGAGAGAGAGAGAGAGAGAGAGGGGAGGGGAATAAAGAAAGAAAGAGACAGAAAGTGGGTGCCGTGAGAAGGTTTGACAGGGTGTGTGTGAGAGGGTGAGAGTGTGGGTGTAGGTGTGACAGAGGCAGGGGGAAGGCAGAAAGGAGCGGAAAAAGAGAGTGGCGATAGTAATAATAATATAATATTAATACTACAATGAGATAGAAACGCGTCATACAGTCATAAATGACGTTTATAAACACTGTAATACCCACTGCACAATTTGCAATAGCATTTATTATGAACACTTCAACTTCTTAATTCTGAATGATCGATGATTTTCATAATCAAAATCATAATCAAAATTCTGATGGAAATCACGCACCTTTGGAGGAGGAATAATTAAATCGGCTCAAAATCGTAGTGACGTCATGCCAGTAGTGCGATTCTCTACAATTTTAAGTCGATTTGCATTTTGTTATCCTTTTTCAGAGCCTACACCAAGTAGATGTTTTTTATTTTTCATTTGTAAATCTAATGTAATTGTCATTCTAAAATCGGATGACAGGAAAATCGTATAGTGTGCGGTAGGCTTATTGACGATGTGATCTAGTAGATTTGTAGCCAATAAAATCAGATTATGAAAAAACAAGCAAACCAACATCTGCTCTTAAAGGTTTCAAATTAACGAAAAATATTTCATTGTTTCCAAGAAGTTAAAAAAGGAAAATGGAATAAATAATTATCTTGCCAATTTATTTTTCAGAATGTGTCAAACCACATCACTTCTCCCCTTTCCCCATACACCGTCTCCCTTCTCTTTGCAATATACCTTGCCATGAGTTAGGAGCTTTAACAAGATTGTATGAATTTGTTTTTCTGTATTTTGAGAGGAGGGGGTCCTGTTGCACTACAAGCCAGCAAACTCTTTTATTTGAAAAAGGGAGTATTCCCCTCTGTGCTCTGCTCCACAAATGATCTCCATTTTTGTACTAAGAGGATGGAGTCAGCCCCAGGCAAATGCCAACAATTTTTTATATTTGGAGGTGTGCCCCCCCCCCTCCCCCCCATCCTCACAAACACACGCACGCTTAAATGCCTAACATTTCTTTTTCATTAAAGGTAATACAAAATGTTGGTATGGGGTCATGAATTTGGTTCAAATGAACATATTGGAAGCAAATGCGATCCTACAACATTCAAAGATCGTTGTCGCGGTACAAATCGAATCTAAAGTTATGAGATTTTAAATAACAAACTCTTAAATTTGTACAGCTCCCTCTCAAGGTCAATATATTAATTAAGCTATAAAATAATATTTCTTGACTAAAATCGACCGATTAGCTGTTCCCGTACGGAAATTATATATCACAACTACTTATTCTGAGATTTTCATGGTTGCAGCTACCATTGTACGGCCGTAGGCACTATTTGAAATTTATCAAAATTTACCGGGAGCACCGGTAAATTTTTACATTCAATCTTTCTCGAAAGCAGAAGTGTTTTTTGGGCTAAATTTTCTAGAGCTTATAACACATCCACAGGGGCATCCAAATATATCAAAATTGTATTGAATCATTATCCACCCAATTTTCAAAATTTCCCAAAACTTTGTATTACCTTTAAGAAAAGGGGTGTTCCCCTAAAAATTCCAACGACCCCCCCCCCCCTCACACGCACACACACACACACACACACACACACAACAAACACTCACACACACAATACAAGTCAAATATTTACCTTCTGTGTTGGCAGCCTTAAATACAGATGCTGTATTAAGGAGAAAGGACTGGAGAAAGAACAAGTTATTCTGCGGGATCTTTCCAGGCTCCGTCATGTAGGAAGGAAATGGCTGTCGAATCAAGGAGGACATATAAGTACGTTTATGGTATTAATGTAGAAGCCAACAACAACAAAATAATCATCATCATTTTATTTTTACCGTTATGACCATTATTATTGTCATCATAGTCATCACTGATACAACTATTATTACTCCTATTACTCTTACTACGATTATATTTGTGATGGTGATGGTAGTTAAGACGATGAGAAAAACGATAACGATGATTGGGATAAGGGTAGACATAATAATGATGACTGTAATTGTTAAATATAATGATGATGATGATGATGATGATGACGATGATAATAACAGTGAACTTACGACTACGCTGAGAGGACCAACATCGACAGCCTGAATGCACATCGACGATTTTGGTATTGAGATGGAGACTGGAGTAACTTTTTCTTCACTCTTGTATTTCCCTAGGTATTTATTGATAGTCACGGTCTCTGCCAACAAGAAGACAACAAGCTCAATAATTAATTTATTCATTTTTGCACGAAATCAGATTTGGACCGGTTCTGTGCACTCTTATTATTCACCTGAATGTCCTCGATCGAATGGCTTAATCTAAATGACACCACGTTTGCAACGGGCTTATGAATCGGTCTCCGCCCACAAGAAGACAAAAGCCCATTAATCAATTAATTCATTAATTATAGTAAGAGATCGTACTAAGACATGTTTTGTGCATTATTATAAGTCTGAATGGCCTCGAATGGCGCAATCGAAATGACATTGCGTGGGCAGCGGGCTCAAGATTCACTGCTTAAGTTAAGCTCTATATTACGTGATCGCTTGATGGCGTGAGTCTGTTTAGAGAAGTAACGCACACAAGCACGGGTTACTGCGAGTCACGTCACAGGAAGATCATGCTAAATGAGGGTTAGCCTAAGCTGATGAGACCTATAATTGGTACCTGGTCTGAAGGCACAGCCTCCTTATTCGAACTTATTGACAATGAGCTAAATTGGTATTACAATCTGCGCATATAAGCAGAACCAACTGAAAAAGCAAAGTAAAGCAAAGTAAATTCGAAGTTTCAAAATACATTTTTAACACTACAGTCGATTGGGGAAAATGAATATTGTAAAACCGGTCACTCAAAGATTTTTACTTTTTTTCAGGCACTTCACCATCATTTTGAAGCGAAATTTTTGCAGGGCTTCGCTATCACACCATATCATAGGCACTGATAAAACGTAGGGCAATGCATTTCATATTTGTAAAACTTGAAACTTTGTTAAAATGCCTTTAAGTTCTCTGTTTGCGAAGTTGTAATTAGGCACTGTGTCACGCACTGTTGGCAATGTGCCCATGAGATGGCGCTGTGCCACAAACAGTACGCTAGGGCAGAAAGTCCATCAGTTCAGTATCGCTTTAAAGGGATCCGGTAACTTTGTCTCAGATTCTGAAACAAAATTCTGGATTTAGCTCATGATGCAATGATAATTATAAACCTTTAGGTCAGTCAGGAACCCCATGACTTTTACAAGCCGATCGCCTGTCTGATTATCAAGATATTTATGATTGGAATTACAAATTTTGAAAACCGTTCGCCTGACGGTTTTCATAACACTACAGTCTATTGGGGAAAACGAGTATGGTAAAACCGGTCACTCAAAGATTTTTACTTTTTTGAGGCACTTCTTGATCATTTTGAAGCGCAATTTTTTTAGGGCTTCAATATTACACCATATCACAGACACTGATAACACGTAGGGCCGTGTATCTCAGATTTAACATTGTTAAACGATCCCTTTAAAATACTAATTTAACTGTTGGGTCATTTTACAAATTGGTCGATGCCTTGAAACGTTAAAGGGATAGTTGAGTTCTGTTTTCAGACCGCAAATGCTTTCAAAGTGCATGGTTATTGCTCTTATTCTTATCTATGACATTTCTAGTGCCCTTTTAGAACCTACAATTGCTATGAAGGTAATTTTAGACCCCAAAATGTGTGAAATTAGCCAATACGATCATTCCAATTCGGTTCCACTTTAAACAAATGCGGTGACAGTTAATTAATTATTTAATTAAAATAACAATACATGGGCCGGCTGGTTGTGCGTAATATAACCAACACGAAAATGCCAGCAAAAAAGCCAACATCGGTATACGGGCATGGTGGCTCAGTGGTAAGAGCGCCCGCCTCATGAACGGGAGGTCGTGGGTTCGAACCCCGGCCGAATGATACCAAAGACTTATAACAATGGGACCTTCTGCCTTCTAGCTAGGCGCTCAGCATATTAGATTGGAGAAGGGTAGTAATAACATATTATGTTATGCAGGGCCCGCTGGAAGAGCAGTTTCAGAAATGAAGTGGCTACCCTGGGTAAATAAAACGTGAAAGGTGCTATTTCGTTTTTTCAACGGCTTTTTCAATTTATGTAATATTTGTGATGGTATACAAATATTATAAATTGCTACATTTATGGATATTTCAGCCGTCTCTGAGCTGATTTTGATCAAAGATGATTTTGTCATTTAAATTGTATGTTCTTTCAAACTTGACACTCAGTTTTTCATTATCTCACACAAAATTATTTTATGTAGCGCCCTCTGAAACAGAACTCAACTATCCCTTTAAGCCGAGACTAGTTAGTCATTGAGAAACGTACTTGTAGGTAGAACGTAGGTCGCCTTGTCAGTGTCGATCTCCATGAATCTGTCTTTTTCTTGTGGAAGTATCATTTGCACTTGAAGGGAAGAATCATAGGCATAGACTGGGTTCACTCTGAAAGCACTCTTAACGGGAATGACTGGTGTGCGCGAGTTGTCCAACCTTACGCTGTATATGTTCTCCACAACTGGCCGGTTACCTGCATCAAAAATGGACAAAATGTGTGTGTTTATGGGTGTGTGTGTGTGTGTTTGTGTGTGTGAAAGAGGGGGGGGGGGTTGTAAGATATGCTCATCATGAAAACGCTATATAAGAACTAGCTATTATTATTATCATTATTATTATATCATGCGATTGAAAATACATCTCTTTGACGATCTCTTTTTGTTTAATCAAGTGTAAAACTTATGGATAATTAAGTAGAAATCTATCAAGGTATCTTTTTTTCTGCCAATCTAGTGCACTCTTGCGGTGTCATTCAACTCCATTTCCCCTCCAAGGTTTTCTTGATTTCCCTCTTTACAGTATGTCCCCTTTCTGTCTATAACCATTCCCATTATTTTGAAAGCGCTATTGAATTTAAAATGGCGACTCCCGTGGGAGGAAACTACAAACTTCAGAGAGATTGTTTTCATTGATTAGCATTCAGATCGGGGTCATTTTCAAACGATACATTTTTTCACACATCATTTCGTTTTTTTTTTACTTTCATTTTTCTTTCATGCACATGCCCAAACCAAAAACTTAATTTTCAAGGATACGCACGGGGCAGAATAGCTTATGCTTGCATGTAAATGAAAGCGAAATCATAGTAGTTACTCCAAATGTTTATACTATCTCCTAATCTTATCTGTTCAAAAGTAAGAAAAAAATTGATGGGCAAGAAGAGAAATAGAAAATACCCTTTTCGTTGAGATGAAAAGCAAACAGCCACGTTTCCTCCTGTTTCCGCTTAATAACCTAAATTTTGAAGAAAGAAAAGGGTTAATTTTAGGACTCGTGATTACAAATGTCTTTATCACGAATCTACAGATAAAGAGTTTTCCTTTCCAAATGATTATAGTGCTATAAGTTAACAACCCTCTGAAAATTCGACATGGCATCTGTTGTCGGTACGGATATAGAGTTTTCCTTTCGAAATGATTATAGTGCTATAAGTTCATAGCCCTCTGTTTCCCTTGTTAACTTCAATCAAAACACGAAATAATCGTATCATAATATTGATGATAATGAGATAGATGAATACAAAAAAATGAATATAAAATTTAATAAATATTGTCTTTAAAACGAAATTAAATTATTTTAAATGTTTATAAAAATATTAATACTAACGATATTTATAACAATAATAATAATAATTATCATAATAATAATAATGATTATAATACTTATACGTTTAATGATAATACTGGAAATAAATATAATGATAATAATATATGCAATACAAAAAAAATCATAATTGTAATCATTATAATAACAACGATCTTAGTAAATAATAATGCCCGAAAAAAAGATCAATCAATCACTCTGATAACGACGATAATACAAATATACTGTAAATCAACTAACAATAATGTGAATAAAATAAAATGTATTCTTACCAAACCAATCTGAGTGCCAATATCTGAGAAACATTCTAGAACTGCTAGCTGGTTAGCACTGCTTATGTCTGACTGTGGGTTATTGATGCTTATTAGTTCATCATGGTTTCTGCAAAGAGGTAACGGGAGGAGATACATTATGGCGAGAAAAGCATAGTTTTGTTCAAAGAAGACGACAGACTCGATGCATGGCTGATCATCAATGAAACGGAGTTAAGTCTGTGAACTATGTCTGTCGGTACGGCAGGCAACCAGTGAAAACGAATTCGTTTAATCAAATTATAGAAATTCAGGCATTACTTTAAAAAAACAGAACGTTGTTATTCCTGGCTCATTTTTCCTGAGGTTTCATATAAAAGGGCAAAAACTTAACTTTCTAGAAATGTGATTTTCTTTTTGAAATTCAGATACCGTCCGCCAAATGACTTTTTGGTTTCCTCTCTCTAAATTTGTCTTAATTCCTAATGCGTGAAATATGCATCATGTGAGCCGCATCACATGACAGAAGAGGATCTAAGCTTTACAAATAGGTGTCATTTATTATTTATAAATATGATTAAGTTATGATAAAACATCGATGATTCTCGGCTTCGTTTTTCCTGGGACGCACTGCATATATAAGATTAAATAGACATATAAATTATATACATAATATAGACCTTGTACGTTTTATTTTTATAACTACAACTCACAATTATAGCTTTCAACAGAACCAGAGGTCCCTTCATTTTTCACTCTTCCTATTAGTTCAGTCTATTAATTTAGTGTGTTCAAACAAACTGATATGAGGTACTCACCTTCTTTTTTTCTTTTTGTATTGTTTCTGTTAATATAAGTCTTTTTAATTTGTATCATTCATTTCGTGAAATCATGACTGCAAAATGTGAAATAAAAGTGAAATATGAGACAATAAACTGAAAACTGAAATTTAATAAAGAAATTACATATCCTATTTACCTTAACCCAACAGTTCTTGCCAGTCCGGTGCCATCTAGGGCCCTGAACTCATGACCACCCTTACGAGAGTAAAGAAGTGCTCCAAACTTCGTGAGAGCATGAGGTTTACCAGGAATATACCGGACAAAGATCTCCTGAAACGCCAGACCATGTGAAGATTCGATCTGAAAATGTAAACAACCAAATAGATATTCGGTAGGTTTACGGTTGCACCATTTGAGAAAGAAGAGGGGGGGGGGGGGGGGTACTTAGTCCTGAAAAGGAGTACTGTCGGTAAGCTTTTATTCTTGAGTGTGTGTGTGTAGTGTTAACTTTATTTCTTGAGTGTGTGTGTGTAGTGTAAACTTCCTTTCTTGAGTGTATGTGTGTAGTGTAAACTTCCTTTCTCGAGTGTATGTGTGTAGTGTAAACTTTCTTTCTCGAGTGTATGTGTGTAGTGTAAACTTCCTTTCTTGAGTGTATGTGTGTAGTGTAAACTTCCTTTCTCGAGTGTGTGTGTGTAGTGTAAATTTTCTTTCTCGAGTGTATGTGTGTAGTGTAAACTTTCTTTCTCGAGTGTATGTGTGTAGTGTAAACTTCCTTTCTTGAGTGTATGTGTGTAGTGTAAACTTCCTTTCTCGAGTGTGTGTGTGTAGTGTAAATTTTCTTTCTCGAGTGTATGTGTGTAGTGTAAACTTTCTTTCTCGAGTGTGTGTGTGTAGTGTAAACTTTCTTTCTTGAGTGTGTGTGTGTGTAGTGTAAACTTTCTTTTTTGAGTGTGTGTGTATGCGCGTGTGCGTGTGTGTGTGTTTGTCTGTCTGGCTGTCTTTGTTCAAAACACTATTTTTTCCTCACCCACCAACTTGCCGCAAGTGAGATCTGGCAGTATTGTAAAGATTGTCTGATGTTCAGTCATGCATGCTGGGATTCAAATGAAAATGGTACCGTATCATGTACTGGGAGTATAACTCTATCAAGACATATCATATCAAATATGCATACTTCAAACAATACAACTTTTAAAAAGTGGGACATTTTTTTCTGACTCACCCTGTATAATCATGTAGGACTTGTTTGTTATTTCCTGTATTTGTAATGACCCTTTTTTGTGAACAAGGCCTCTCAGAAAAACAGTATAAAAACAATACTGTGAGAGCTACCCTGTTTAAATAAATAAAATAAATAAATAAATGGGAAGAGAGACATTTTTGCTCAAAATATTCGCCCCCCCCCCCCCCCTTGGTAAATATAGTTTTAAACTTCAAAATAAATGACGAATAGGTTTGAACTGATAACTTTAAATATTTGATTTACTGATTAATCTGATTCTCAATAATATTTGCTTTGCTTGATATTTCTAGTTGTTTCCCACTACCACCCATGCGGAATGTGAACGTGCACTCATTGTCAATAGGGGCTTTTAGATTGAGTGGACGAGAACACGACGAACGCCGACTGATCATGCGTGTCAACGTACTTAACTGCCCATGTTGACTACAATTAGAAATCTTTTAGATTGCATTCGACGATATATATGCATGCAGGAAGTATTTAAACACTATGAATATCACGGACAAAGAAAGAGGACACAATATACAGTTCCTCATTCTACCATCAACAAAAGAACATCCCTTCACTGCTATTATGTAAAAATGTGTAGAACAGGTGAATAATATGCATGTGACACCTGTTCTACACATTTTTACATAATAGCAGGGAAGGGATGTTCCTTTAATGGTCTACCTAAGGAACTGTATATTTTATGCGCACGCGGCATACTAGTACCTTTAGCATGTAAAGGCGCTATATAAATATCAATATGTATGTATGTATGTACTAGAGTTAGAAAAATCAAGGTTGACGCATTCTCGATCGCCGACTGAGACGACGTAACGCATGCGCAGTGCCTTAAAATGACGTCACACGTTGCAGTCAAAGCTGTCGACGTGCAAATCTAAAAATCCCTAATACCCCGAAGCCATGATAATCATTTGTGGTGTACTGTCCATTGTATCACAAGCGGAAGGGGTTAAAACGCAACCATACGGGGGCCTTCACGTTTTGTCAAAGAAGGATAAAAACGTGTTGTTAATGATTCACAGCATACAATAGTTTTTAGATAAACAATTCCAATTCCATGTGTGTGTGTGTGTGTGTGTAGTGTAAACTTTCTTTTAGAGATAGAGAAAGCGAATGCTCAATAGTACCTAGAGGGTCGATGATTCAAAGGGAATAAGGGATGTTTCCACCTGGTAAATATGTAAAAGGGGTCGTCCCGCTCCCCCAGATATATTTAAAAATTGCTAAAAAATTGTCTAAATTAACGATCTGTCTCAGCCAATTGAGAGGACTAAGAAAAGGACTTAGGACAACAAAGTTAAAACTACAGAATGCTAATTTTCTGGCGCGGTCGCTGGGCTCCCTCGGAGAGAAAAAAAAGTATTTTTTTCAAAGTTCATCGGTTGAAAGTCGCTAACGCAGTGCTGCGTCAGGGAAATGGCGCTTCGTGTGGAGCAGAATAACAAAAACAAAAAGAGTATGACCATGGACGATCGCTTCCTGGTTTCTCTTTACTTCCTCCTTCCTTTAGGTGACCTTCCTCGTGTTGTTGTTGTTCTTATTTAGTTTTATGACACATGTGCATATATTCAGACTAATTACAAATGGAGTAATGAAAGAAGCTTTTCAAAGGCACTCTGCCTATCAGTTTAAAGCGTCAAGGGAGAGGCGGTGACGGTAAGAGTGGGGGGGGGGTGATATAAATATATGAGTATATATATTTATATCTTTTCATCGCTATTGGTGAATACAGATATTAACAAGTATTTATTAAACTTTCAACGCTATCATATTCCCACTCTCTCTTCACTTTTTTTGTTTGTAACTTTGGGCCTTTAGCTATTCACTGCGGTTCTTACCGCAGTGCTATTACTCCATACAACTACTGCTTACTTACAAGCATACACATTCTTTCTAAGCAGTCAGGTAAAACAAACAAACAAACAATAAAACAAGAAAACAAACAAACTCTTCCGTTTTTGGTCATCATGCATTGAAGGAAAACAAGGGCTTCCCGGTCACTTACGGTTTTAACAGCACTTTACCGGGGTGATTACCGATGTGCTGCGGTCATCTACACTACTTATTCCCCTGCCCATAGGAGAAATGTGCTTGTCCCGACTTAACAGAATTAATACTTGTCGACCTACCACTTACCTTCTCTTCACCATCATGACGTTCACAGGGCGTCTTCTTCTCTGTTGCGGTTATAACCGCGGCTTCCTCGTGTGCGTTACTCGCCTCGACCACTTCTTTCTGTTTCGCCTGCGTCGAAAAAATAGCAGCTTCGGAACTCTCAGTGTAATCTTCACGCATGTTTGAATCAACTCTCTCTGGCTCGGTGGACTGCCCAGCTTGGCTTTGATCACCCGACGCTAACGGTTCCACCACGGGAGCGCCCCCCGACTGTTGATGGTGGGTAGATCCCGCACTTCGCTTTTTTGATGCTTTTCCTCCCATAGTGAGTTATGCTTCTATGCTCTTATTTTGAAAGTCGAAGATGAAGTGTTGCAAGTTTAACTTCACAGTGTGAGTGTAGCAACACATTTGACAAGCCAGTTTTCAAGTTGTGCGCATTGATTTATGTTGCAATCACTGCTAGAAAACCCATCGACCAATGGGAAGAAAGGGGTAGGCCTAGTTACCTTGCATCAGTGCATGCGAATGTTTATTCTTTGAATCAGGATCAAAAACATTTACGCAGAATCTCATATTCCTACAATATCTTTTTTTCACTCGCCGGAAACAAAAAACACAGGCACAATAGACCTATCTCTCATTTTAGGAGGACGAATAACTCTGACAAAACTGAACCATGTTAGTACGTACCATTGTAATCGTTAACGTGATTTTGACTGTTGTGTTTTCCCCTTCTTCTTCTTTTCGGAAAGTATTTTTAGCAGTGACACCTTTTTCAGGGAAGTCATGCATTCAATATTCACTATGACATATTTGTGTTTTGTATGTGGATTTATTCACATTTCTATTCGCAAGAGACAGACATAGCAGGGGATCCAGCAAAAGCTTTTAAAAAAATCATCTAAGGCTGCACTCATGGTGAAAATATTGATGAAATAAACAAATAAAATGTGAATGATCATTATTTTGGAACTAAAGAAAGGGAACGATAGAGCATATAAAATGTCGAAAATGTTAATAAAATACAGAATCATAGAAACAAACTTCGATACTATGTCAATGTATCAATAACATCGATCCAAATATACACAATTTATGTTCAAACACGGATAAGCTCGATTACAGTTGAAACAAATCCCCCTCTCTCTATATATATATACAGTGCGTCCCGGAAAAAACGAAACCGAGGATTATCGATGTTTTATCATAAGTCACATTTATAATTAATAAATGACACATATTTGGAAAGCTTAGATCCCCCTCTTTCATTTGATGCTGCTCACCTAATGCATATTTCACGCATGAGTGATTTAAATGAATTTGAAGAGAGGAAACCAAAAAGTCATTTGGCGGACGATATCTGAATTTAAAAGAGGAAATTATATTTCTAAAAAAATTGAGTTTCTGCCCTTTCATATGACACCTCAATCACGAAAACGAGAAAGGAATGACAAAGTTCTGTATGTTTAAAGTAGTGCTTGCATTTCCATAATTTTATCAAACGAATTCGTTTTCACTGGCTGCCTGCCGTAGCAAAAAACAGAATTGTCAAAAGACTTAACTCCATTTCGTTGACAATCAGCCATGCATGAAGTCTTTCGTCTATGGCCGATTGTCAACGAAACGGATTTAAGTCTTTCCTTAATTCCGTGTGTTGCTAAGGCAGGCAGCCAGTGTTACATATAGTTGAACAACTGAGTCACATCTGCTGATTTGGATATGCAGTGCATGCAATCTACAACCAAATCGAGTCAACCTCGTTTCTCTTTGATCATTACAAAATTTCACAGTATACATTCATTTTTCTTTTTCTTTTGAGTTTGAGTTCTCTCTCTTTCTCTCTGTCTCTCATTTCATCCTTTGCCTGTACATAAACATACGAGTCAGAACAATTTCTGACCCATCATAAAACAAAACAAGATAAATAACGAAGAGAAAGGAAAAGTGTTTCATTTTAGGTACCCTTGTAATAAAGATGGAAGGAGATGGGAAGGGGAGGGGCCCGAAAAGAACTTTGCTCTCGCACATCTCTCTCACTCTCTCTCTCTCTCCCTCCCTAGCTCCGCTCTCTCCCTCTCTCGCACTCTCGCTCTCTCTCTCTCTCTCTCTCTCTCTCTCTCTCTTTCTCGCTCTCTCCCTCCCTAGCCCCGCTCTCTCTCTCTCTCTCTCTCTCTCTCGTTTCATCCTTTGCCTATACATAAACATACGAGTCAGAACAATTTCTGACCCATTATAAAACAAAACAAGATAAATAACGAAGAGAAAGGAAAGAGTTTCATTTAGGTACCCTTGTAATAAAGATAAAAGGAGATGGGGAGGGGAGGGGCACGAAAAGAACTTTGCTCTCGCACATCTCTCTCACTCTCTCTCTCCCTCCCTAGCTCCGCTCTCTCTCTCTCTCTCTCTCTCGCTCTCTCTCTACCGCTCTCCCGCTCTCTCTCTCTCGCTCCCTCTCTCTCTCCCTCCCTAGTTCCGCTCCCCCTCTCTCTCTCGCTCTCTTTCTCTCTCTCTTTCTCTCCCTTCCTAGCTCCGCTCTCTGTCTCTCTCTCTCTCTCTCTCTCTCTCGCTCTCTCTCTGGCCGTGCAAACATCAACCAGGAAACATAATGTTTACATACGAGCAGCTTTTATGTCAAAGTTGTTGTTTATATTTCTAAAGTTGTCCCCCTCTTAATATTTTCATGAATAGCATACTATTGATACTTGCCGTTCCGCTCTTTACTTCTGTTTGACAAAAACACAAGGGGATCAAGTATTGAATCTAATTGGTTTATAAACAGAAAAACAAATCTTCTAAAGTGCATTGTTTTTTATACCTGCCGTTTCCTAATAAACCCGTCCCTTTGCACTGTTGTGGTTGTTGTGAGGGAAGTACAAAGGAAAGAAACCTTATAATAAGCATTGCTCGAGAGTAGTTCAAGGCAAAACAACCTCAACTAGACTTTAATTCGTCACTTAGACGATTTAGGTGATACTTATGATATTGGTTTACATAACAAAGAATGCATTTAATACACGATATCATATTATTTTATAAAATACTTTTCCCATTATGATCTATCCATATGTCAAGTTTAAATTGCGTCGATCCCTTGATCATTATGGATCTAGGGAAGATAGATTGCAACAATATATGACCATTGACTCTATGCAGTAACCGGTTACACCTTTCACTTTAATTTACATCAGGAAGAACACATTCTGACGATTTTATCTTATTCAAAGAAATGAAAATGTAATTGATAAAATGATTATCATCATTATGATAATGATGATCATGATGATAATGAAGATGATCATGATCATGAGCATGATCCTGATATCTTATTGAAAAATGAGGGATGATTTAAATAGCATATAGTCTCAGCTACAACATACTAAAAAATCAACTAAAAGCAATCAGAAATAACGGCGATATTGCTCGCAAAAGACAGGAATGTAGAATCCAGATTTGAGAAAAAGTCATCTCCCAAAGGGATTACGCGCAAAAAGTAATGGATTAAGTGAAAATAGGGTAATAATAAGGTAAAAACGTTTGTTTATTACATTATTTGCGAATCTACGTGTTGTAATAATCAATGGAGATGGTACAGTGAAAGGTCAAAAAGAGAATGAAAATGAAGAAAAAATATGTTGGAAACACCCGGACTCGAACCAGGGATCTCGAGGTTGAAGTCAAGTGCGTTACCGATATACCAAAACATTTCACATAGCGATTACACGTAAACGGAAAATGGCATTCTCAAATCCCACTTTGCAAGTGCAATATGAGCATGATCCCGGCATCTGATCAAAAAATAATAGGCACATTTGAGATAGCTTATTGTCTCCTCTACAACATACTCGAAGCTCAGCGTAAACAAAGATAAAACAACAGAGATATTGCTCGCGAAAGACGGAAATGTAGAATCCAGTTTTGAGAAATAGTCATTCCGTAATAAATAAATAAATAATAAAAATCTTGACGAAATCAAAAGGTGATACGTAGACTTCGTTACGTATCACCTAACTAGACTTTAATTCGTCACTTTGACGAATTAGGTGATACGTATGCTAATGATTTACATAATGAAGAATGCATTTTCACGATGTCATATTGTTACATAAAATGCTTCTCCCATTATGACCTATCCATATCTCAAGTTTCTACTGTTTAGCCTTGATAATTATGGATGTATGGAAGATATATTGAGACAATTTGACCATTGACCCTAATTAACATAATGAGGCCTACACATACACATTACATATTCCGTGGTAAGAATGAAGTAAGCGAGGGAAAATGAAGGCAATGACAAACGAGTGAGAGAGAGAATATGGCCGGGTTCAAATTAAGTGTTCTTTTAATTATTAGACCATGTACTGAGGATCTTTTTATGTGCCATGTTTTTTTGTTATTTGACGGCTTTTGACGCTACATAGAAATGCCGTCTTTTGTCTCCAAATATTGTTTAAATAGCACTGTAGAGACGCTGAACACTAATGCAAAGTCGTAAGCCATGATAATGTCAATTTATATCTGGGTCTGCTAAATAACCCGAACAATAGAATCAACCAAGTGGAATCAACTGTTAAACGAATTTATCATGAGTTCTGAAATTTCAATTTGTTACTGCACGTCATAATAGTATTAAAGAGCCGCAAAGGCGAACGATTGTCGCTAAAATTCAGAAATTGTTGCTTAGATTGTTTAAATTACCAGGAGACATCAAGCTACATAGAACTATGATCGACACACATGAAATTGTTTCGAAAACAGTCTGAAAAATTGGAGGTAGAATGAATAAGAGATAATGTGGTCATGTAAACAAGTGCATTATGTCCATGTTAATCCCCTAGTTCCAAAATCATGATTGTATTCTCTATTTATTTCTCCTATATAATTTATTTCAATTTAAAATAGAAATTCTAATGTTCCTTCTTTTGGCTTGATAATATTTCAGCAACGAATTGACAGTTTTGGTAGACATCTTGGATGTATCATAGCAATAAATTCTTGGCACATGACGTATTGTGTATACGATAATAAGGATAAGAAGAAGAAGCATACAAATAACTATAAGAATAATAACAATAACACATACTTACTATAATAATAATTAACATTACGATATTTACTATAATTATGAATATAACAATGATTATTATAGTAGTGCTGCTATTACTACTACTACAACTACAACTACTAAGAAGAAGTAAATGAAGAAAAAGGGGTAGGAGAAGAATCATTTCAGCGATATTAGTCAGTATACTCCCAATGATTGAGGCATACACGTGTATACACATTCCGTGGTAAGAATGAAGTAAGCGAGGGAAAATGAA